GAATGCAAAAACCAAGACAATCAACAAAAATAGCACTGCAGGCCCCGCGAGCTCATCAGCCGAGTATCTCAAGTGGACATAGAAGGATCCAAGGATCACCTCGGAAGCGGAGCTCACAGTGCAAAAGCATACCCTCGCGGGGCAGACTGCTTCATGATTGCTGTAAGCCGCAGACCATGTCTGCACAATTCCAACCATATCGGAAGAACTGATAAAAGGTCCGGAAGGGAAATGCGAGCCTTGCCTTGCTTTGGGAATCCGACAATGCAGCTGGAAGCACCGCTTCATTTAGTTTAATCCTGCAGCCTCTTGGGATGAGTTGAGGTGCCGCCCACCCCGAGCGCTGCAGATAGCCCAGCGGATTTTGCCCTAAGAAATTGAAGCATGTCCTGGGCACATGAGCAGGCAGCATGAATGCTGATCCACTCAGCGGCATTTCCGAACATGCTCTGCTTCCGGTAGGCACGGTCGGCACAATGAGCGAGATCCTGCAAGCACTCTCATGCCACGCCGCTTATACATCAACCAGAAGGAATAGATCGTGAAGATCAGAAATACCAGTCCAAGCCTCAGTGTTGGGTCAACACCTTGACACTGTAAAGTCAAGCACCGAGTTCCTAGAGTCTCAGGTTTTGGTTTAGCTCAGGCACCAGATCATGAGAAGGAAAGCTACCAAGTTAGAGCCCTGCACGGACGGCGTGAAGAAGAATGTCCGCATGGCCGTGCTTGTGACCTGCGGATCGGTCTTTTGTCCCAATGAGTCCAGCATTGGCAGAAATGCCGAGGTCTGGACAGTTCCAGTAACAGCTCCGTTGGGAGTGAACTCAAACAGGATGACCTCGTCTCGTTCCGAATTTTCACTGCTTCAGCGACTCCGCTTTCTGAGACTGGCATCCACAAGCGACCTACCCCAAACTTTGAGCCAGGATGCTGTGTTGACCTGAAGACAAGATGTAGAAAGCGGTGCAAATGCACTACGATCGAGCTGTACATGGACACCGTACATCAGAAAACACGGCTGCGAAGCTCTGGAAAAATAAGAACCTCAGGCCCAGGCTATGACGTTCACATTCGTGCTCATCGTTGTCAACTCAATCGAAACCCTTAGCGGGCAGGGACTTGCAGAAGCCAAGGGGGGGGCAACATCAGGGGACTGGGCCTATGGATGCCGGTCACTTTGCTTGGAAACGGCTACGGGGCTGTCAGCTATTTTGGACTGGCTCGCTGCTTACCGAACATGAACATGAAGCATTTGCACTGATGTAGCACCCAGCTCACCCCGTTCACCCACTGCAGCGGACAGTACCTACAGTGTCCTACGGTCCTGCATGTTGGTTCGGTGGTGTCAGAAATCGAACCGCCGCCCACTCTGAGACATTTCATGCCCTCAAGGCTTTCGAGTTCATCTTCACATCCGGGAGAGAGTGCAGGGAAGGCATTGCTTTTGGAAGCGCCAAGCTCTCTGTCACGTTGAGTCATGAATGGAGACTTTGCACTGCCACAAACCCCCAGATGTGACGAGCGGCGCCCTGGTCATCCGGTCACACCATCTCCATGTCTGCAAATCATGGAGCATGCTCAGCGCATGCGACTTGTTGGCCGGCAGATCGATGAAAAAGCCCGAGCCTTCACGTCTGCAAGCACTGCAAGCCACTGCATGCAATGCAATCTTAATTCACAGCGAGACGTAGGAAAGCATCGTCGGCAAAGCATGGACCCTGGGGCTTTGGATCCACGGGATCTGAGATCACCACACCGCACTGGCCGGCCTGAGTAAGTTGCTGCAGCCCCTCGGATGGCTATCTGCTGTGTCTCTTCCACTGGGCGCCACTGGTAGGCCTCAGCTCCAACAACTATCATCAGACACATGGAAAGTGACAAGCTCACATTTTCGCCGAGCCTTGATGAGGTATGTTGGCGCGAAACGCGGGTCATATGCAGCCTCAGTGCTACCTAGCCCCCGCAAAATTAACAACACTCGAAATGCAAGGCTCTTCTTGCTCCTGACCTCTTTGTTTCCCTCTCAAAAAGGCACACGATGGAATCGCGTGCAGCCAGTGGACTTGCTGACAAGTTGCTTGACTCTCACGTGTCTCATCATATGTGGAATAGCAATCCTTGCTGCTTGTGCAGAACGGCAGTGAAGAGGAGCTACGGAATATGGCAGCCATGCACGACAAGTAAATGATGTGCAGCTGAAGATCAGCATAAACGTGCTTCACGAGAGCTGTCACGCTGCAACCCGTATTCGGCTGGACTCGCCTGAGTGTCTTCGACTTGAAAATTCAATAACCTGCTGTGTTCGATTTGACGAGAATCTTGGAAGCCGACAGCTGGCGCAGGCGCAAAGCCCCCAGAAGAACTGTGCTGCGTGTGTCACTCAAGTAGCGCGGGCTCCTGCGGCCAAGGATACTGCGGGCGAGGATCAGCAATCGCCATACAGGCATGGATGCTGGTCTCAGCGCAAGATTCTACAGCGATCAGCCCTGTTACACCAGGTGATGATCTCATTTCCCCGGACATGCCTTGACACAGTCTTCGTTCGTCTATGAAACTACAGGCAACAACCCAAGAAGAAAGAGCGGCTCCACTTCAGCGGAAACTGGCTGTTCCTTACTGTTGGATCAAGCTTGTCGACATGCTGCATTGACAGCGTGCGGATCATGCAGGGTTTATTCTCTTCTGTGCTTGCTGGAACTGACACATGACCGGAAGTCACGCCTTACGCATTGCGGTTGACTGTCTGGTGATTGACCAATTTAGTGGTATCTGTTAAGTGTGGAATGACGCAGATGCTTGGCAATTAAGCATGCAGCGTGCGTGTTGACAGCAGCATTGCAGGTGACTGCTTGAGAATCGTGTGTGGACTGGAAGCCGGGTGTTCCACACCGTCAGCACTGCTTAACAAACGTAATGACCACTCGCTATCACCTTTCTGGCCCGTGCTGTGGTCTTCGGATTCTGCTTTGTGACCATTCTTGCCCGTGCATGCTGGGCGGCTCGACGGAAGGTTGCCAGCATGCTGTAACGCTGCTGCGTGCAAACTCGTGCATTGTCGTGCAGCCAAGTCACGGAAACACTGTGTCTATCTGTGCAACGATGGGTGCACCGACATCATCGGTGTATGCCAGAGGCAAGAGCTCTTCCCTCAGCGCATTGTGTAGCAGTGCAGACTCGACAAGAGTCCCGTCCTTGCAGATGAAAGCCCCTTCCACTCGGGCCCAGGCTGCATCCAGGACCAGAAACTTTGAATGTTCTCGACCTGCGGAAGGAAACCATCACACTGTGTTTGCTGCTGATTTAGGATCTTACACCGTCTTGTCCGTCAACAGTTGTCGTCTCAGTACGTCCCGCCGCCTAAGAAGCGGTGTCGATAAGATGACTTGGCTCGTGAACGCGAACTGATTGCAGGTGGCCCAAGACTGCCGGCCTTCTGGATTCTGCAATTGCCGTCTGTGTCGCAACCCCTCCAGTAGTCGAGCTGCTCGATTCGACTCTCGAAAACATCCTGCAAAGAGGACTCAGCAACAAGATCTACAGTCCCTATACCGAAGCAGAACAGCACAGCTCTAGCTTCTACGTCCTGCGACTGCAGGTTGTACGCATACAGTGTCACGGAGGCCCTCGGCATGCAACCCATAGACTTTAGACTCCAGACTGCGGTCAGCCAGAAAAAGCATGGACCCGTTTTGGTCCGACTTATAGAAGACCTGCCTTCGATGCGTCTCACATCTGATCCAAGATGCAGCAGGATCAGATAAAACAGCGTTTCGAAGAACATGACCTTCAAGTTCCTCCGGGCAAAAATCATGGCTGCGAGTCAAGCTGTTTACCCAAACGCATCTCCAGTCTGTCCTGTACTCCACTGAATTTGTGTGATATATTCGTGTCGCATCGATATCTTCGAAAAACTTCCAGAACATCACATCCCCGACAAAGCGATCTTTGTCAGGAGTCTCCTCGAAAATGTCCTGGACAGGATACACTGATCGTCAACTGAAGCTCAAAGACTGCTCCGGTCCTTGAGGAGAACCATGGGACTGTCCTCGGCCATGTCACAGCTTCTTGCTCGCAAAACATTCGTCACTGCGTTGAAACTGGATGCGGTATGTCCGCGAGAGCAAGGTCGGCGAGAGATGACAAGCGAGAAAAAACAGGTATCATGAATGCAAACCCCAAAGAGCATCCCATCGACTGTAGGAGATCGTGGAGAAGAGAGAACTCTTCTTGACAACATGCGAAAAAATCGCCAACAGGTGCCAGCAATCTGCAGATTGAGCTTGAGTGGCACAAAATCCCCAGACTCAAGCCGAAACTGTTGTTGCACTGCTGTTGTATGCAGTGAACTGTAAATTGGAATGCTTGCAGGACTCCTTGACGTCAGGCCCTGATTGTTTAGACTGTAGACTCTTTCTCGCTGTATTTGTCCAACTTGCAGCAACTTGGCTCCGCACCTTTCTGCTCTGTTGTCTGTGATGCAATCGCTTGATAACGATATCTCGATTTAGAAACCTTGCTTCAGGCTGGCGTGTCTCGCATTCATGATCGTAACTACAACTCATGGATGCAAGAACGCCCGTCACTAGCAGAAATACCCACTCGCCACATGCAACAAAGATACAAAGGTCTCGAACTCTTTTTCTTCTTGCCTGCTCAAAATGCATGAACGGGAGGAGCCAACATCGCTTCGACCTTCGACCCAACCTTCACCACCGGCGCCATCAGGGCTGTCCATGGCTATGAGGCAATGAGGTTACACTTCGCAGCGTTAAATCATGCGGAGAGAGTTCAACGGTGTCGGGACAAGTTTCTCATGATAAAGCCGGCATCTGCGATACATGCTCACCGAATGTTTGTTTGCCTTGCTTGGCCATGACATCGCTTCCAGGCTTAGCATTTCATCTCATGAACCTTAAACTGAAAGCTCCTGCCGACAGGGTCCTCTCAAAGGAAACATGCACCACCATGTGGATGCAGCATGTGGTGCGAAGCGGCCTGTCCTGCAAAGCTTGAAGACGTTGCTCTTGCGCCTGGAAACCACTGCAAAACGGCTACACGCAGTTCTGAATCTTGCATAGTCGGTAACTTGTCGACGACTACATGTCCATGCAACAAAAAACAGACTGTGAGCCGGACATCCTGTTCTTTCGAACATGAATTCGCGACATCTGCCATTGCATCCAGGCGGTGTGCAGTCTGCTGCTGCTTCTGCTCCAAAGCATCCAATCGAACTCCGACATCTGAAGCTATCTTGGGAGACTGCTCCGCTTGGAGATCGAGCAGTTGGCGGTGAAGGTATGCAACGGCTGAAGCCGTCCTTTCTTCTAGCCCTTCCAATTGACGCCTGGCATCCCACGTTGAGCGCACATCAGCTTCTCGGTTCCGACCCGGCGATCTCAAAGTGCTCTCCCAATTGAACTTCTCCGCTATGCCAATAACACTGTCAGTCCTTCCCGAACATGTCTGTTACTGTCCGTCAGGGATGCAGCATGTCGTTTGACGAGACTTGACGAAAGACAATGTATGAACTGCGTCCTGTAGCCCCCATTCGACATCGCTGCAGGGAACAAAGTGTCACATGATCGTCGGCTAGCCGGATTCATGTGCAAACGAACGTAGCATGGTATGTCGGGGAATGCTGCTTTCAAGCATGCATGCTAGCTCCGCGAATGTTTCAGCAGCTTCAGCGTCCTTCAGCTGGGCATTGAACATCGACGGCACGCTGCGCACAAATGGCATCAACACTCCGGTGTACATGATAACGTCATGCGGTCTGCAAAAAAAACAAGCTCATCATCTGGAACATTCATGTATCATGACGATGCGCTCCTGGTATTTTCGATGGAGTTTTGCACTAGACATTCCGAATATATGTGTACATATATATATATATATATGCCTTTGTTACCCCCCCTCAAGGTTTTCGTGCGTTTGAGAGCCGGATGCGAAATAGTGGGTATTCTATAACGTATATAAATTATTGACTAAAAAAGCTTCGATTTGATCAGGGATTTCGCAGATCCTAGATCCTGCATTTCCTTCATACAGCCCTCAGTTTTTCCACACGACATGAATTCGCGCACGTCTTCTTCTCGTGTTGCAAAACAACGCAAGCTTGCATGCAAGTTCTGTGTGTGAAAAGGTTTTTGCATGCAGCAGCGTGGGCTCTGAAGGTAACACGCAACAGGAGAGCAAAGATATGTCATCTCATGTAAAATATTATCACGGCAAGTATAGATAGGAAAACAGGACCCTATTTTTACACCTCCCATATATAAGACGCATCGAGATTGTAGATAATGTCCGTGAACACGATATCTATCGATATTTCAGGGCGCAATACCGTGTATTTAACCAATATAATACCCTGTAGAATACATGTCAGAATACTTTGCAAGATTCCACTCTTATACAGTAACCTTTATATCTTATGGAAATGGAAGATCCTGCCGACTACCTCATACTTATACCCCCCGCACGCCTTATACTACATATGCCCTCTAGGACACTTTATACAAGACATTATATAGAATATCTTCTAGGATATCCTTTAGAATACCTCCTCTGTGTATCTTAAAAACTTTCTTATTTCCTGTTCCACAAACACATGGACGATATCATGAATATTCCTCTTCACGTCACTCCAATATATTTCAGAGAACGAAATAAGAAATAAGATCGCAGTCACTCGCTCAGCAGCCTTCGTTTTGCTAGGATGATATTGCGCGATGCCGTGGGGTCGAAACGATCAAAGTTTGATATCTCCATCGGCCCCAAGGTCAAGCATCCAATGCAAGACACATGTGTCGATGAGATAAGTCGAGAACTTGCGCACCCGATCATACCCCCGGGCGGGCGGGTGGGTAAAAAGAATTTTTCCTGCCCACTTGAGCAAGAAACCTTGCATTCGGATCGTCATTCAAATGCCCATGTTTCTCAATACTCATGCGTGAAAGTAAAAGAGCAAATCAGACCAAAAAGCATCATGAGCGCCTTCCGGTCCAGAGAGAATGATGTCGTCCACATACAGCGTTAAAAGTAGTTTGGAATCTGCAAACCAATATGAGCTTTGGAAAAGTTCACAACGCTTGCCTCCCATGCTTTCAACAACAGATTTGAAACGGGCATTCCAATGGTATCCCGACTCCGGGTGTCCATACAATGCGCGCTTCAGGCGGACGCATGGCTTCTCTATGTGCTGGAACTCTTTCGGAGTTAGCTCAACCGGAAGCTCAACCCAGGTAGGCACTTTTGTGTTCAACTCGCTTTGTGTGTAAGATTTCACCACATCACTTTGTGTAGATTTGTGGTTCTTAGCAGCTCCGTACGCTAAGTTGAGGTTGATACCTGTGATGCTTGTGGGACTCACTTTTAACTCTTGCAGTATTGCAAGGTTGTTAGATTCGTCTCTGATGTCATCACCTCTAAACACGATTCTTGCCTTGAGTTTTCTCAACTCAGGGGTTTCCCAATGCTTGATGCTTAGGAGAGTCATGAGGCGACCCACGTTGATTGGCTCCTTCCGAGACATGAGCTCTTTTCTGGGGACTACCTCGGAATAGTCCCAGGTGTCATTTGCGATGAGACCCTGAGCCTCTCCGTTGATGCATTCCTGAGCTCCCGGATGCTGGTGCCAATCCTTCCGGTCTATGGGATGATGAATCCCTGCAAAGACGGAATCCTTTTGATCGCGCTGATTGTGAGGAGATTGCACAAAAGTGGTGATGGGCATCGCTGTACTTTCGGATGAAATCTTGGAGTATAAGCTGCTAAGAATAGTGTAGGCCATGGAGTTAAACTGTAAAACCCTGAGCGTTCACGCTTTTCCTCTTGAACCAAAGGCGCTGCATAGGTCACACACTATACAACTATACCGTAGCCTGGGCTCACCAAAGGTGTGGGGCGTTCCTATGTACAGAATTCAACACCCTGCCTCGAAGTCCTTGTGCTGTACTTTGATCGGTCTGCGGTCGGGCATACCTCCGCCCGTGACTGCATAGGCTTTGCCATTGCAAGTCCTTGGGTTAAACACTCCGTGCAACCCACCTTTTTACCGTCCCCCAATTAGGGAGGTGTGTCAGACCGTCCATGTCCTGACATTCGTACAGTAACAAGTACTTCGTCCCAGTGAAACAACTTCCACACAAACTTCCTGCGTTAGCGCTCTTGCTTCTTTTGCGCTTCCGCTGCTGTGTGTTCCGAGGTGAAACTTTTTCAGTCGTGCCTACACTCACTGCACTGTCTCATACTCGTCCACGATGTAGGGCTTAACGACTTCCGAACAACGTACGCTCCTCCGTGCTGTCTGGCGTACCGGGATCCGCTACTTGCCTTGGGCTTCCAAACAAATCCAATCCTGCTCCTTGGGAGCTTTCTCCAGGTGTCTCATACGTCTCCTGGCATTGTTCACAATACGCTTCATACGAATCCTGACACTCTTGTGACATTACCGTGTTTCCCATTTCTTCCACGGTTACCATCCTTCCACGGAACTCGATCTTCTCCGGTTCCTTCTGAATCGGCTCCTGAGTTTCTGGTGAGACGACTCCTTTCAAGGCTTCCATTCCACGAACGTAGTTTTCATCGCTTATCTCCGAATCCTTCTGAGTCACTCCTGAGATGACTCTGCTTCCACGCAGGTATTCTTCCTCACTTATGATGGGCATACGGGTCCCGTCCGTATGTACAATTGCTGGCGTTCCCATCGCTGCTCTTCCACGTCTCTTCAGGGTTCCTTTCCCTGTGCTACTATTCTGAACTCCTGCATTCCATTCATGCATGGTCTCTTTCGATCCACGGGGTTCATCCGAACTCCTTCCAGTAGCTTCTTCTGCTTTCATACGGTCGTAACTCTTCCGCCATTGGGCAGTCGCATATTCATTGATACACGGTGTACAGGCGCATTTCTGGTGATTCTCTTTCTCCCTTGTACACTTCCTGATTCCGCACCAGTAGCATAGCTTCGTGCATCCTCCGGTAGACTCCACTTCATACTCAAGGTCCATTACCTCCCAGTCGCTTTCGTCTGGGATTGGTGGCTCCACACGTCCACGGCGTTTTCGCATGCTACCTTCCGGCTTCGTCTCCGGGAAGCAAACCCAACAGTGTCTGTAGCCCTCCGCTACAGCTTCACTTTCTTCTTTCCAGATCCATTTGCCAGAACGCATATGGCTTCCTTGAACGTGCCAACATGTTCCCTTGTGAAACACACGGGCCTTTGACCCTGTCGATATTTTCACCATACCGACTCCTTTGATCTGGTCCACCGTGCGCATACACTTCTTCCACATACTGATGGCATACGGGGCTGCGAGTAGCATTACGCATACGATCATACAGACCTCGAACTTCGTGAATCCATCCATGGCGTCCATACCTTTTCCAAAGGCTCCACTGGCTTCTGCTCGGGTGTCCGCTACGTCCGCCTTGAGCATTGCTGTGGTAATCGGCTTCATCAAATGAAATACCTGTATTGCCCTGATGAGGTTCTTGATTTGTCCACTTCCGACATACTCCTTCAACCTCTTTTCCTGTTCATGCGTTTCATACTCTTTCTCTCCAGTGTACTCCAGGTTTCCTTCTTGCAGCGCCTTGGCTGTAGACATGAAAGTGCAGAAAATCCACGACCCGCTCAAGCGACAGCTCTCCGAGGGAAGTCTGGACGGGAGCAGGCAATGGCAGGCTGACCGACTTTTCCTCCTCATAACATCGAAGCCTTACCTCCTGAGTGATCCAGGTGCGCAGCTCCGCGACACAATGTGGTAGAGAGGCTGCCGTGACGGTGCGGATGACCCCAAGAAGATGCGGGGGCAAGGAATCAATGGCAACAAGCTGCTTGATTGCCTCCACAGTGACGCGGTGCGGGAAGAGTGCATCCATGACCTTTCCAACCTCGCTATCCACAAGACCCCTGCTACGGTAGAAGTGAAGGGAGTGGAAGGCCCACTCCAGTTCTTTTTCCAGGTTGCACATGGGGAGGAAGGCACGTGCGGCAGCGACATCCACCTGGGCCGGCAGTGTCTGGTCAGTACGCAGGAGCAAGTGGGAGTAGTTGTGGCACTGAGGCCCGAAAACGAAAAGCTCGTCCGGCATACCTCCCGCGCGAATACCTGGGGCGACCCGTATGGCGGCCCGAGCAAAATCAGTGAGCACCCAAGGGCACAAGAAGTCTTCGCTAGCATGGATGATGCGCAGCCTACAGGGGAGGCGCAGGAGTGCCTCAAACAGCCAGTCCGGCATGCCAACGGCACCAATGTCCACGGCTGCTGGCAGCGAAGCATCGTCCGTGACTGCCCCGGAGGCGGCGGTCAAACCCACGGGAGGGAAGTGACTGCTGCCCCATAATTTGTGGAGGAGCACTCCCACAAGACCCGCCGTGTAGCTGCCTGCAGAGAAGCCACGGACGGCAGGCCGCGCTGGGCCGACACTTGAAAAGGCAATGCACAGGGCCGCCAGACACGCGGAATGTGGATCTGCAAGTGGGAGCTGCGTCGTGCCCTCTGGAGCTGTGTGACGATCGTTCTAGCTTCCGGGCTGGAAGCAGTGAACTTAACGTCCAACATAGCGTGCGCTAACTGGATAACCGGCAGGGCGGAAAGCAAAA